TTAAATAAATCTGAAGCCTATTGCGCACGGTTACTGAGGTCTGTAATGGGAAGCTCTCATTGTTAAGCGTCTGTAATGTGGAGGGGAGGGAAACCACCAAACTTCGACTTAAAACTTACATTCACTATTATTTTCTTCGCAAAAAATACGTGAGATCCACAAAAACTGACTTTAGCAATATCATCGATAGATGTTTTATACGATTATTCGTAAGATTCAAAATGTTAACCAGTCCCGATAACGCTAATTGTCCTGAATATGTTTCCAAAGAAAAATAGAAACGTGTTTACCTTTCATCGCATCAATAACAATCATTCCAATTGCTGATATTTCTCATGAAATAAAATTCGACTAGAATAATAAAAATAAGCATTTTCAGCTTATGTAATATTTGTTCGATTAAACAGATTTTAAAAGGGTGTGGGTACGGGCATGGAGGTACATTTCTACATCCATCCTTGTCCAATAGTTAGATTTTCTAGTTTCCTCTAGCTTAAAGTTTACACATAGTATATCAAAGCTTACTTGTGTGTAAATAAGAAAATTTCCAATACTGATTTTTGAGAATACGAGATCATAGAATAGCTGCTACTAGACTGATAAGCTACGTTGTGACGTAGCGATGGATGATAGAAATACTGATGATAGCACACACACATTCATACTCACTCGTACATCTTGGTTCACTTATCTCTTATAGTCTGTAGTGTGGTCCTGTAGGAATCATCGAAAACCATCAATAGATGTCAATGTCGATTTCATTCCTGTGCTGATAGACTGGAAATTTTTCTTTAGATCTTGTAGCTATCATTATTTTTCTACTAAATTATTTTAATTTACACACTTTGCAAGAGAGATTTTCTTAAGTACAATAAACTCTTAAGATGTAAGCAAATTTATACAATCCTGGCAAAAATTATAGAATCACTTGGTGAAATCGAATTGCTTGACAAGTTTCGACCATTTTCTAATTCTTATTTGGAGAAAAGTTTACGTTGAGATATGCATATGGATGTGTTCTATCTCAATATGAAATTCTATTTACTTGATACAAGTGTTCGTATGTATAGGATGTGGGTGCGGGGATGGGTGTGAGTGTAGGTGTATCACATAATCACACCAATACCCACCGTTCACACTCACTCACCCATCCACATCCGCATCCACACCCACACGCACACCTGCTCACATCCACACCCATACTCGCACCCACTCACACCCTTCTTTCTCTTCGTTTCTGATTCTATTATTCATTTTTATTTCTGATCTTGTTATTCTTGTCCTTATAAAAAAAAATGTTGATAGGACGCATTTTTTGTTCATTTGGGGAGTATGTTATAGTGATGTCGCACGTCGACATAATGACTCTCTTAATGTTATCCTCTATCTATCTTTGATCTCTCTTTAATCTCTATTGGTGTTATCTTTTCTTTTCGTTCTAAATATATATGTTCGTTTTTTCACTTTGATGTAATGCTATATGATATAGAATGAATTCGTACACGTACATCCGTATGTATATACGATGATATATAGTAAACAGCGAAAGGAAAGAAAACAACTCTAACAGATGGTGAAGGTTGAAAAGACTCGTAAACAGACAAAGAAAACGAGAAACATATATGTATAAGTCCTCACTTTATCGTTATCTTCACGTCTTGTATATATACAGGCACGTGTATATAAACGTGACCTTTCTTCCATTAATCTGCTTTTTACAAAGGCTCTTGAAACTTATCCAAGTCTTAGTCTTATACGAAATATGAATCAACAATCATGGACTGATCCTAAAGAAGCGATAATTAATCCAGATGTATTAGCAAGTATGATTCAACAATTTAATGAACATCCGGATTATAGTGAAAACATGGGTGGCAATGGTTCGCCTGTTATATCAGGAGAACATCAAGAAGTAGCCAGAGATGATACACCAAACAAACGTAGACGAAATCTAATTGACGGTGATATTAGTAATACACAAAGTCCGAAAAATCGCCGCATTCGTGGTAGTTTTGGAAGTAAAGACCAAGGTGTTCGTGGACCCATGGTGATACGCAATCAAACCTATGTCCATCGGAATGAACCAAATATAAACAAGAACAATAATCAACATCATAAACAACACTCAACGAGTTTAAATAATACAAAAAATAATAATGATATAAATGAAGATTTTTATCACTATAAAGTAAATGATCAATCACTAACATATTCTGTCGATACACATCTACCACCAATTATATTTGAATGTCGACCAAAAATAAAGGAAAAGGATGCAGCTAAGAAACTGGTTATGTTGTTTTTCAAAGAAATCGAAAAAGATTTTCGACAGAAACATCCTAATCATAGAAGAGCTATTGGTTTTGATCATTGGTGGCAAAACTCAGATGGTGCTCGTATATTAGGTGAAATTAAGGATGTTGATTTATTTATTTACTTATGTGATGCAAAGAGATATCCAAAACAATTAAACAATATTAATATTCTTCCGGATCCACCAAAACGTCTACCACCGCGAAATACTGTTGTAGTTAAATTTGTGAAAAATGATATTGACATTGATGAATTTCGTATTGATATCAAGGAAAGATACAAGTCTATCTTTACGGTTGAGAATATGATGGGTACTATGCGATCCAACAGCCGGCACATTAGGATGGACTTTAGCGATATAAACGATTATGAATCAATACTTAATAGCGGTGTGATAAGTATACAAGGTCAGCTTTATGATGTCGATGAATATTTACCTGCCCCCAAAATTCTTATATGCTCAAAATGTAATGAACCAGGCCACATTAAAAAACAATGTCAGTTGTCTATTGAGAAATGCAGAAGATGTGGTGGTGATAGAAACGATGGTAGTGATCATAAAATATGTTTAATTAAATGTCAACATTGTGGAAATAAAGAACATTGTTCAAATGATTATCGATGTCCTTCTCTTCTGGATTTTCGTCGTCAAATTGTAGCTGAACTTCGTAGAAGACCTGATTGCTTGCCTCCGCAAGCTCAATTTTTTATACCAGTTGACTGTCGTCCAAAAGGTAACTATACTCGAAAACTGAACAATCCAGCTACTGTACGTCAACAACGAAATTTTACACCACAATTAAATATAAATTCAATGAATGAATGGCCGGAGCTTCCTGTCAGACACTTCAACACTGAACAAATAGTCAACTCAACTGTAAAAGAAATAGAAGAATTAAAACAAAAATATATTGAAAATCAACAGAAAATTGAACAACGTTTTCATGAACAACTTAAGAGTATTCAACATGGCTGGACAGCTATTCAAAACCAAGTATTAACATAAAACGAAATGATCACAACGACATGTAATATTATTGAAGATATATTATTTGATTCATGTCAAACCATAAACAATATGGTTGGAAATATAGTAAATGAAATTAGAATTAAGTCTACAACAGAAGAAGAACAGAAAACATTTTTAATAATTGAAGAACATCTTAAACTTATGACAACAAAGTTAATCGACAAGAAACAAGCCTACAATCAATTTCAAGAACAATTAAAAATATTAATGTTCCAACAACGAACTGCTGCAGCGTCGATAATGGACTCATTATTTTCAAAAACGAATGTATAAAGAAGACTTCAGATATTCACCGGCAACAATAGACTTATCAATTTGTAATAGTTTCAGTGGAACTTCCCAAGAAAAAAGAGAATTATATTCTATGATAGATGAGTGGAATAGTAGAGTGTCTATTTCGAACTTATGTACGATCTGGAAGAAGCAGCGTCCTCCTAACTCTTTATCTGAAAATCTTTTATTTCTTTTATATAATTGTGAATGCCTAAGTACCCATCAAGCCGATTTAGATATCTTACTCTCGTCGTATCTTCCGCAAATAGTTATTCTAACTGGTGTAGGATCATTAATTCGTAATTTACCCTTGCTGCCAAACTACTACTGGTTAAGTCAAAAAGGCACGAATTCGTTTGGAGGTGTTGCAATACTAATCCATCATTCTCTTAAGAGTGCAATAGTTTATACAGATGAGAATTTTCTTTTAGCTGAAATTGACATATTATCTTCTAAAATATTGGTTGGAGCTGTGTACGTTCCACCCAACAAACAACTACCTTTTGAACATTTTTCAAGATTAAATGGAAAAGAATTCTATTTATTTGGCGACTTCAATGCTAAGCACTCGTTATGGTCATGTGAAACAAATAATACTAGTGGAAGTGCATTAAAAGAATGGATGGAAAGAAATGGATGGGAAGGTATTTTCCCAACTGTTCCTACTTCAAAACGTTCTTCTGCTATTATAGATTTCGCTCTTACGCACAATAATTCAGGTTGGAAAGTTGAAGTAATTGATGAGGGTACATCAGATCACTTTCCAATTCTCTTTTCATCTCCCTTCACAGCTGCCGAAGATGGTTTCTTCCGTAAAACAAATTGGAATTTGTTTAAATTCTTTTTATCGTTAGTTAATGAATATTGGAATGCATGCGTTTACAATTTTGACGAACATTTTTTTTTCACTCTCTTTTCTTCTTTTCTCTCGTCACTATGGGATAGAACAAGTGAATATATAACTATAAGAAAATATAGACCACCTTGGCCAGCGTATTTAGTATCACTGGCACGCAGTGTAAATAAACATCGACGTAAATATCGTCGAACACGCTTCTTATGTCATATGAATGCTTATTTATGCTCAAAGAGAGAATATGACGAAGAAAGGGCGAACTATTTACAAAAGAAAAGAGAAAATCACTTAACAACAATAAACCAAGGACAAAATATTTGGCGTTTCGTTAACAATACATTTCGTCCTTATACAACCTCATTTCGAGGTATTAGAGTAGCAAACGGTATAGAAAAAGACCCCAGAAAAATAGTTGATATTCTTGGAAATTACTATGAAAAACATTTTGCGCTTCCGATACATAATCCAAATAATGTAACACATATAAAGTCTATTACTGCCTATGAGCAAATTAGTTATTTACCTAACATGCCTTTGCCTTTTATAACTTTGAATCAAGTTGAAAAACAATGGTTAAAATTTTCAGCTAAAAAATCACTTGATAGTATGAGGAACTCAGCTTTTCTATTAAAAAACTTACCAATTGAATATATGAAAGTTATCACAGTATTATTTAATAAGTGCGCGTCAAAAGGAAATGTATTTGAAGCAAGTAAACATGCTAAAATTATATGTTTATCTAAAGACGGTATGTATCCAACGGAAGATAAGCTCAGGCCGATTTCACTTCTGCCTAATTTGGGGAAGTGGTTTGAACGTTGTATACATGAACAAATACAAGAATGGTGTAAAGGTAAAGGGATATATACTGATGAACAATCAGGCTTCACACCAAATAGACGTTTACAATCTCGAATTCTGTCAATCTGCGAAGACTTAAAACTAACTGTAGCAGCGAATAATCGCCCCGCGTTATTAATATTCGTTGATTTTCTCTCCGCATTTGATAAAATGTGGTATCCCGCCTTGATAGCAAATTTAGTTGAATTAGATATGCCATTACCATTGATAAAATGGATTTATCAATGGCTTCAAGAAAGAACTATGAGTATACATCATGGAGATTCACAATCGAAAACCGTTAAACTATACGTAGGTGCACCACAAGGTTCAGTTCTAGCTGCAACACTCTTTAGAATACATATTCACTTCCTTCCTCAATATTTTTTTCGTTTTTGTACGCATTTATTTGCCGATGATGTAGCGATTCTTTTAAAAGGTTCATTAGAAAAAAAGCTATCTCAAAATATAATTGAACTAGAAAAACAAGCTAAAATAGCAATGCATATCCTATTATCCTTTTCAGAAAATCATTTATTACCTGTGAACGTGAAAAAAACAAAAGCAATGTTAGTACATAGTGCAGTATCTCCAAGTCAACCGAAAATATTTTTCCAAAATCAACAGATTGATTTCGTACAAAATTTTAAATACCTAGGGGTAGAAATTCGTGTTAAATTAGGATGGGGAAGTTATATAAAAACGCGTATACTTAAAATTAGAAATGTTTATAACGCTCTGAAACAACTTTTCCGACAAATCCCTATTGGACTGATCCATATCCGTAAAAAATTATTCTATGCTTTTGCTTTACCCCACTTTATATGGCTTTTTATGACATGGTTTTACTTTACAGAAAGACAACAAAATGAAATAGAACACCTATATGCATCAGGACTACGTATAGTTTATAACCTTTGGGGTTGGGAAGACTATACTGTCTTCGTACTTACAAGAGAAAAATCCCTTATGGACTATCTATATAAATATTGGGAGAAAATGATAAAACATTTACACACAGCTACCGAGGCCCTTGATTACCAACAATCATGGGAGGCATATATTATTGCAACCTCTACAAATCGTAATTACTATAAATCTATGGGATTTAGAAAAAACAGTTTTTTTCTTAATCGTTTGGCAGCAAGGGCTCACCATGTAAATTTGGATATTTTTACTTTCTTCTGTATACATGAGAAACAATACGAAATTTTCAAAAGATCCTCCGCAGTGTTAGAAAGATTTGCATATAAGTATCTACACCCTCCTTAATATATTATTTAAATCGTAATTGAAACTGAAATTTTGATAACTAGTTCTATTTGACCTTGATTCTATTAACTATCCCCACACATCTATACTTGACATATACATTTTTTTTTTCTTTTTCTCTATCATTCTTTAATATCATATACTACATGAACCTATATACTACTTTTATTTTTTTTTTGTGAATTTATATATCTCAGACGTCCAGAGGAGATGACGACAGCTAAGCGAGAGAAAAGAGAAATAGCTGTTTATCTTTATCTTTTTTTATTGTCATAATTGTATCAGTGTCTGTTAACCCTATGTGGAACAATAAACTTTCATATTAAAAAAAAAAAAAAATATATGTATAAGTCCTCTTTATCATGTATCGATATTATGTCACTTACCATATCTTCTCTCTTTTGCGTTCTTATGATCTCGTGTTGTTCTTTTCTTTTTGATTTCTTCTTCTCATTCTCTTTTTATCTGTTCTCGTAAAAAGTCAATGCACGAAGCAAAGCTAGCATTGATGTATAAGGAATAAACTTAACAATTGTTGCTTCATCAGATGCTTTATATTTAATCATATTCGATATTGTAAGTGCTTCCGAGCGGCACATTTGAATAAAGACTACGGAAAAAAAAAGTCGCTGTCGATTTTTGATGACCGATGCCAATACCAGCTCCATCGCTACTGTCTGTAGGGCAATAGTATAAAATATTTTTCGAGATTAGAGGACGCAAGATCAGTTGTAACAAGCAAAGTAACAGACATTTTTCCTTCGTTCTTTCAATGAGAAAAAAACGTTTTTTTTCCTATGAAAAAGGAGAATGAATCTTTTTAGTTATGAAAAGGATGAAAAAGTCGTATTTTATTTATTTTATTCACTACAATGCTTTTGCGGTTCTTTAATATATGGAAGCTTTTAATAGTGTAGACTGCTATTCGCACTATATGTTGTTACATTTAAAGCGAGAGGAATAAACTAAAAAAAAAATGTCGGTTTCCATGACGCTGCTTGACGGAAGAAGTAGCGTTGAATTGTCAACTTATTTTTCTTCTACTTTAATGGTTCTCTGAAAATAATCACCATTTTTCTGCTATTTTCAACCAATCCAATGCTACTTTCGGAAATGAAATGTATTAGAACAAAAAAAAGTAGATTGCATTGCTTCTTTCTTAGATGGAGAGAAAAAAAAGAGAATTGAGCTGCTTTAAACGAAGTGTTCTCCGTAAGACTTATTTTAACAATCAAACAGTTGGTAAGTATTTCCACAAATATAAAGTAAGGCATATTCGACGCTGATCGGTGGTTCAATGCATCTTTCTCATTGATATATTTACAAAAGGGCTTAAAACTCATTACATACTGAAAAATAATGTTTTTTCCTGAACATCGCATAATCTCATCTGTAAAGCTTCTGTCACTATCGAAATGATATTATTCTAACTCTCAGGCGAAATCGATCGTAAAAAGGGCCTAGTATAGCAATCTCAAAAATATTTTGTGGTAGATGAATAGTCTATTCAATCAAAAAACAAACAACAGTTCATTGATACGGTAATTACACCTCTTTCCGACAGACCAGACCTAAAAAAGAACTTCAATAGTCATTTCTGGCAGAATCGAAACTGGTTGACTTTCTTCCAACTGACGAGGACCGATCGCTTTAGTTCTAGACTTCAATCGAGGAAAAAGTGGTCGAGTCTTCCGAGCGGATAAGACCTTCAGAAAATGCACTTGAATGAGTTAAGGACTGATGAATCTGTTAAAATGTATAAATTCTTTCTTAATTTGCGAAGTTTTGTTTCGTCATGTGGCATTTTCTACCGACTTTACCACATTTATGGCACTGTAAGTGTTTCAATGCGAGAATTTCGGTTGAAAAGATGCGTCCCTTTCTAGAACTGCTATTACAGCGTTGAGCTTTAACTCGTCATCTCTCGTTTTCCAGTTAGAATTAACGCGTTTTAAGAAATTTGTCACTCTCAACATTTTAGGAGAGAGTGTGGGTGGGGAAGGGGGGGGGGGGGGAGGTGTTCGTTTGGGTCATTTTCTAATTACCTACGTCCGAACCCCACACCCCCATTAGCAATTACTTTGTTGAATTTTTTAACATTTTTGTCTCTTTTGCATTTCATTTTTCAAACAGCACACACTCACCAACATGACTGAATCAAATAGTCCTGGTGATTTAATGAGCATTTTTATTCAAAAGGCTATAGAATGTCACATAGAAACTAAGGAATCAAGATTTATCCTCATAGCAGTTCACGACGACGAAGAGAAATTTAAAACTTTCAAGAACATAGCAACGAGTAATGAAACTTCTACTCGAAAGTCATATGTTTTTGATAACGTCAGTGACTGTTTCGAGTTTATTATTGAAAAAGTCTCCTTGGATCCATGTGTTACAATCATTATCTTCGTTGGTGGTCAATTAGTATTTGATCTTATATCTTCAATTCATGCATGTGAACAAGTTTCTTTAATTCTCATTATGAATAAACCGTCATTCAAAGAAGAAGAACATGAATTAATAAACAAATATCCTAAGGTAAACAAAATACATTGTTGTCTGCGTACCTAAACGTAAAATACATGATTATCAGCATTGTTTTTTATTAGGTTTGTTCGCTAGCAGTATGAATCAACGAGAAAATAACTGAGTTTTTCCTTTGAAATGTTTCAAGATTTCGAGATAGAACAGTAATAGAAGGTGTATACTGCACACAATTATGTTGAGAGATAGACATCTAACAAATAAAATCACTGGTAAATACAAAAACTTGTGTTTTGAGTTACGTTATTTAGAAAGAAGCAGACATTGAACACAAGTACTTGTGTTCAATATCTGTAGTGAAATTTATTATGAGATACTGAAATTTGAATGCTTTCCAATCTGTAATAAGAAAGTTCAAGAGAATAATCTACGAATGCTCGAAAGTTTTCAATTATTCTTCCAAATAGACGTGTACCGAGCCCGAACTTCCCGGGTCCGGTAGTTCCCAGGTTCGGCTATTCCCGGGGACCAACCAATACTAAGTACTGCCTCAATCCAAATGTTTCATTCAATATAATACAGTTTCACTAACAGATAGATTTAATTAAGAAATTCATAGCAAAGGTAAATCGGGGTCGGGGAATCCGAATCTGAAGTCAGTTTTTCGAAATTTTGAATTGAGCTTTTAGAGTGAAGGGAAGGGTTTTTTGAGAAAATATTGATTTTTTATAAAGGCTGACGAAAGTAAATCGGGGTCAGAGAATCCAAATCTGAAGTCAGATTTTAAAAATTTTGTTGCTGGATCTTTTTGATAATTTTTATTCAAAATCTCTGATATTTATGAAAAATAGATTTTCGTAAAAATCCTAGGA